CAAGAGAAAGCAATTCTCAAAGCTCGGTCTAGAAATCACCCGAGAGACCGACGGCGTCTATCCAGCTTGCTCTCTGCAGAAGCAAACGTCACCATGCAGGTACGTACTACATAATACCACGTACTAGGCTATGTATCTCCAGCTATAAACCCCACCCCCATCGGAGTCCACTTGTCAGGCATCTATCTCAATTCTGTCCTGCTTCCGGAGAATCCCACACAAACCCCCTCACACATGAAGACCGACTCGGCTCCCACACCCCTGCTCAACACGACGCTCAAATCCGTGACGTACGGGGTAAATCTCCATGCAAGAATACCAGCGCCCCTGCAGTAGTAGGGTGTTTCGGGCGCCTGAAGAAACGGTAGTTTACCCAGACAAGCCAAGCCAAGACCCCAGACCGGCGGAGAAATCAATCAGAAACAACAATTCATTAAGGACGGAGGAGTCGGACGTGTCTCGGCTAATCTCCTGTATTGGGTGGTTTTCGCCTTTGCAGCTCATTGGAGGGCGCAATTACTCCGCTGTGCGGTGATCGTCACTTGTCGTCGGCAGCGGTTTCATCGGGCCTTGGCGGAGTATGGGGTTCCCGGCGTGTGCACTGTGCTGTGTCTCCGGGGTTCAGTCGTGGGGGTTGTTGCAGGGGTTAGAGAGGTATATATAGGCAAGGTAGGTAAGGAGGCTTTTCTGCTGTCTGGAGTAGCAGAAGCAAAAGCTCTATCTCAACTTGACTATATCGCTCGACATATATTTTCTTTGATAGAGAATCATGGGCATGTACCGCTCGTTCATCCTCCCAGCAGTGCTGGGCCTGGCCCTAACTGGCACAACCGCCAACGCCCAATGTGGCTCCGGCACCCCCGACGCAACCGTCACAGGCGAGAGCGGCGCATACACCGCCAGCGTCGGCGCGAGTGAGGTCTACGCGGGCGCGGACTACTACGCCGCCATCAGCGCCGCCCTCGAGGGGATCAGCTCGGGCCAGCGGCTGTCGGTCATCGCATCCGGCGCAATCGGGACGAACGTGATTAGCATCCCCAGCGGCACGACCTTCGAAGGGTGCGGGACCATCGACGTCTCATACAACGAGGGCGGGCGCGGCGCCATCGAGTCCCTGAACACGGACGGCGTGTCGATCCCGTACCTCTCGATGACGGGCAACCCGTATTTCGGGATGCGGTTCTACGGCGTGACGGGCCTGTCGCTGGGCCAGATCGATCTGAACCTGAGCGGCGGGCTGGGGATCCGGTTTGAGCGGGACGAGGCGGCGAACGCGGATGTGTCGATGGACGTGATTACCGTGACGGGGGCGGGGAGCCATGCGGTGGAGACGTGGAATATCGACGGGCTGACGATCAACTCGGTTGTTGCGCGGGATGTCGGCGAGTGCGGGCTGCTGCTGCAGGAGACGACGAATGCGCAGGTGGGCACGGTGGATGGGGATAACGTCGCGGCGGGGACGGGGTACGCGACCTTCCGGATGGCGAATAACAACGGGCAGCTTGCGGATGGGAGCTACGCGACCAATGTCTTTGTTGAGAATGTCATCTCGCGCGGCGGCGGCCGGGGCATCTTCTGCGTCTCGCAGTCCGGAGGGGTGGAGATTGGGAATGTCGACCTGGCGGACAATGGCGGCAATGCCATTCTGATTGAGAACTGCTATGGGGTTTCTATCCTCGGGGGGACGGTCAATGGGGGTGGCGAGGTGCGCATCTCTGCTCGGGATGAGTTCCCCAACACCAGCGATGTCTCCATCAGCCTGGAGGTCAGCGGGACCAGCGTCAGGGAGAGCCCCTGCGGTGACAACATCACCTGGGATATCTCGGGGGACGCCAGTCTGGACATCTGCTAGCGCTGTTCGACAGCACTGGGCATATCCCATCTTGAATTGTACATAACCATGACTACTTGGGCTACCTTTGTACTTACCTATGATCATTCAGTGAGGAACCTCCGAGTCAGGAACGAAGCCCTACCCTATGCTCTCAACCCATGTAGTAGTGGGACATGCTAAACGACATTACCCTACAATTCCTTGATATAAGCCGTCATATAAGTGGATCCAAGCAGGGAAACACTGGTATAAGAATCATTCAAACATCCCATCTCGTTGGCCTATGTGCAGTTCCGCTGGCACTTAATGCGTATTTGACGAAGATGCTCCCGTCTGGTATGTTAGAAGCTAGCTACTCAAATAATTGCACGTTATCGACTTATTACACCCTCCATGATCCTACTACTCATCAGTTCCTTGAATCTGCACCCCGGATTCCTTACACCATAGTATAAATCAGTTGATAATCCTTTGTCGACACAGGGTTCGGTCCCCGACAGAATACTAGATATCCTAATCGGGAAAGGGATGCCTCACTAGCAAAGCCCTAGTGCTCCCACTAAATGAAGATCAACCTCGACTCACTTCAACTTCATCCCTCTCTCCCATTTCCAGCCATGCCGGACCCTTTGGACCTCCCAGGAGAGTTACTCGACCACGTTCTCACCCTCGCCTTTGGCATTAGTCCACGAGGCGAATGGGAGGCCGATGCACTCGACAACCAGGATGTCAGCTCGCTCAGTCGCCTTCTCCTTGTTAGCAGGAAGTGGCACCAGGCCTTAATCCCGAGGCTGTACTCCTGTTTGACCTACAACGGTGCCAGACATACTTACGCTTGTCTATGGAGGTTTCTTCGAACGGTCCTTCAGAACCCTGATCTTGCGGCAGAAGTGAGAGTACTGAATATCGGTAATTGGGGGCTTGATCCGCCAGTCTATCTTAACAGTGATCTTGAGGTAGACAGAAAACTCGACCTAAAAGACGAGCAGTTCAAGTTTTCTTCAGATGATAAAGCCCTTGTCCGGAAGGCAACCCACCGAGCAGGATTTACTGCCGAGTTGCAGTCAAACTTTCTGGAGGGCATTTTTCTCGAAGAGAACCATGAACGGCGTCCACTAGTGGCGCTCCTCCTGACCTGTCTGCCGCGGGTCGAAACGGTGTATGCACATCTCCCGGCCCAGGACTCGTTCTTCCGGGCTGTTGTGCAAGTGGCAATTGATCGACAACAGAATGGCCATCCGTTGACTTACCTGGCCAGCCTAAAGAACCTGTATCTCCTCAGCGAGGTCCCTGGGTTCCCTGAAGATGGGTGCGAGCCGCACAGTGAAGAGATCGAGGAACCGCCCTTGAAAGTGCATGACTTCTGGCCGGTGTTCTATTTAGAGAGTCTGCGCAGCCTTCATCTGTATAATTTGGACACCGAGGGTGCAGAATCCATCCTCCGTCAAGAAAAAGGCTATACCTCTCACATCGAGCATTTGCAAGTCGCTACTAAGCAAAGCTCAACATGTACGCCAGCAGACGTGGTCGCGCTGCTGACTCTACCAAGCAGACTCAAGGGTTTATCCTTCTGCTGGTCCGGCGACAAGACCAAGTCCACAGAGAAAGTCGGCAGAAAAAAGCGCTCTATCTGGAAGATTCGAAACAGCGAAGTATGGAGTGCCATACAGAAATACCAGGACACGCTGCAATATCTGGATATCTTCCACGACAAGCCGGCAGCTTCCCATCACAGGAACGCCGCCAACCACTTTGGCTCTCTGAAACCCTTCGCCCATGTCAAATATCTTTCGATATCGGACGACGTGCTTGTCGGTAGATATTCGCAGCATTCAATAGCCCCGTTCCGATTGAAGGATACCCTACCTCCCAATCTCGAATCCCTTGTCCTCTGCATCGGCATAGCTGGGGCGACCACCCCCGACCTCACATCCCAGCTCAATGAAGTAGTATCCGGATCTGAATATCCCAGTCTAAAATCCCTGCAAGTGAGCGACTCGTCAGTGGTCAACATCTATCGACCATCCAAAGGTACGCCGGAAAAATACCGAATAGTAGAAGAGACCTGCGCCCGCAGCGGTATTCGCTTCGACATTCGCGGTATGTGCAATGCTATGGACATCCTTACGGACTGCCCGTTTTCCGCCGGTGGGCGGTGCACTACTCTCTGGAAGAAGACATACCAGTTACGCTACGAGGGTACAAGAAGATACGTCAGTGCAGAGCAACGCGCTGCACGGCGGGAAGTTGGTCTGCGAGAGACCCCCAGCCCTGCGCCCACGCGGATGATACTAACCACCCATGTCGTGCCGTTTACAGATCACAGGGGGAGCCGATCATTCATGGTATTCGAGAATGATGAGGATTGCACTCTTCCGCCGCTTGTGCAGTTCTCTATCTACTTCACTCATTCTCACTGTCAACCTGACGAGCTGGAGGCCGATCTCATAGCCCTGCATGACAAGATCCGCGACGCAATGGAGGACTTCCACATCCGGCTCGACATCTATTTCCTCCCGGATGGGCAAGAAGCAGATTGTGTATCCCATTACAAAGCCGAAAGAGCCGTCCGTGGTGATTCGATGATCATGATCCAGGAAGCCAAAGAAAGACTGGAAAATGACTTGCCGCCACCCCCCACGCTGCGACTCCCTGGGATGGTGAGGATATATTCAGAAGGCGGCGAGAGATACGGTGGTCTCCTATGCATTTACCCTGATTGTTCCTGGCAGGACGGCGCGCAGCAGATGTGCTGTGTGCGGTTCGAGCCAAAGTTCGCTGGGGCTACGCAGGCGGTTTACACGGAGTGGCTGGGGTTTCCGGGACCGGACCCGGACCCGGAGGAGGTCGACGAGGATGATATATTCGGGCCAGGTGAGGAGTATTCTCTTGGGAGCTGGTTGTGGGAGTATGCTGTTTCGGTGCGGGAGGAGGCACAGGGGGTGTTTTATCCGGCTACGAGGAGGGGGTGGACGGGTTGGTGATGGTCTGGTCATGTTCTGCGAGATCAGTGCCTATTCTAAAGAGGATATAACGAAGGCCATGGCAGGACCAGTAATAGTATGCAACTTATTTCTATACATACAAGTGACTGATCCCTGTAGCACGTCATGCAGGTGGCGGCTTTTCTATATGTTGCAGAATAAGTCAGTACAGGGCACCTAAAGTCCCCGTGGCCTAATGGTTAGGGCGTGTGACTTCTATATCTGGAGATCTCAAGATTGCGAGTTCGAGTCTCGCCGGGGACTTTTTTTATTTCGCATCTTACTCAAGCCACCTCCGCCAAATTGGAAGGAATATCAAAGATACAGCAACAGTGGATCTCAACATGGGTATCAAAATAAAAGCTACGACTTTATCCAACCCGCCCACGAGCCTCATCATCGAGCCGGCGTCCGAGCCGGTAACTCATGAGGCAATCCATCCTGATAATTCCCGTACAACTCCGCTCGAACGATGTTATTTTCCAGTTCAGCCTGTGCGCCGAATTGTTCCTTTCCGGTCATCGTATACGGGGTATCCGGCCCCGGGCCTGGACCTGGGTTCTCCGCTGCAGATTTCCGTCGGCGACGCAGAAGGAACCAGATCAGGGCGATAATCAGGGCTGCGCCGACGACGCCGCCGACGACGCCGCCGGCAATGGCGCCTTTGTTTGTGGATGATGACGATGATGAGCCGGCTTCTGGATTGTCAGTGATGGTGGGGCTCGGCGTTGTCGTTGGTTGTGATTGTGTCGGTGATGGAGTCGACGAAGGACTCGGCGACGACGATGCGTCTGAGTCTGAGTCCGTTCCGTTACCTGTGCGCGCGAGAGAAATGAACGTCAACAAACACCCGGCCTCTCCATCACGAGCGTCCGCATCATCAAATCAAGGAACAAGAATAGAATGCCATACCACGCGCCACCGGAACAAGAACATTCGTATACTCCCCGCTCGGATAACCCTCTGCACAACCCACCCCACTCACCTGGCTCCCATTGTAGACCAGGTTCGTCGCCTCGAATCCGTTCGTCCTGCTGTCGCAGCAGAAATACCCGCCCAGGTTGTACAGATCCCAGGTGGCGTTGTTGGCGCAGTGCGGATCCTGCATGATGGGCGCGGAGCAGTCGGAGTCGGTCGGGCAGCAGAGACCGCCAGTGCCGCAGACGGTGTTTTCGGGACAGCAGACGTGCCAGGGGTCCCAGTTGACGGAGCATTTGACTTCGTTGGCGGCGGAGTCGCAGGTGCCGTTTCGGCGGATGGCGACGCCGTAGGGGGGGCCGTAGGAGGTGGTCATTTTTTCTTCTTTACTCCCTAATGAGTGACGGAGGGTAGGTAGGTAGGTAGGTGACGGGGTTAGCGGGCCTGGAGCGGCATTGAAACCAGTCCAAAGGGAAGCAAAGAAAGAGAAACTGAGATTGATGGATGGAAGAAGTGCCATGACATGACATGCTCGTGCGCTCGTGCCCCCAACATCGCGGCTTGGACGAGGCTGAGATACACGCGTTTAGGGCAGGGATAATCCAGGGAGGACCGCGCAGCTCCGATGCACAAGGCTGACTGGCTTGTCAGTGACTCCGCAGGACGATCAATGCCGACTGCAGTGGCTTAGGGCTGTCCGAGCGCTGGTTTTGGCCCCAAACATGCACAAGAATGGAGTCGGCTCGGCCCTGCTTGGCGATCTCAATAAACACCTAATGGGATGCAGATTTGCCCGAGAGAAACATGCAAATCATCAGTCATGTTGAATGTTAACTGCAGAACAGCGTTTCATCTCGTTGTGTGGCTCCCAGGTTGGGCAAACTGAGAGATGACATGACATTACCTGATATTTCCCAGTTCTGCTTTCTAACAGTTAACGGCAGAGACATTCTTTAGAATAATATACCTTGTTTCACTTGCATTAATCCCCGTTAGTGTTTACACTTACTCAACCTTAACCACACTAACCCTACTACGTAGCTAAACCGTCCAGATTTCCTTCCCAGAGGAACAGAGACAACATGGATGCTCTCTTCCCTACCTCCCCTCGACTTTTCCCATTTCTCATACGCCAATTATCCCAGCTCGGGCCCGTCTCGCCTACAAACCCATAGATGCTAGGTTCTCTCAACCAGTGGCGCCGGGGGCTGCAGTCTGCCAGATACGAAGGTAGTATAAAGACGCGGCAGTCCAGTGCTTGTATGTACACGCAGCCTAGGATTCTGGCAATGCTTATATATCTGGTTGGAGTGAAACACAAATCCAAAGTATAACAACGTCCAGCCTGGGTATATCAACACACGTCGAGGTCGGTGTCTGTCTGTGCAATCCTGATACTATTTGTGGCCGACTTGGTGAGCCAGTCCTGTGGTACTAGACACAGTAGCAATCTTTATCTTGGTTTAATAGAAGAAGTACAGTATTTCTTAAACATGGACCACTACTTAGTTTGTTCCTCGTGATTTCAAGCTTAATGAGCTCTTACTTATTCTTATTTTGCAGCGTAAAAGTTACAGTGACATGGATAAAGGTCTGCAGATGTGGAGTTGCTTAGGGTGTGATACAGGTCATGGGATTGATTTTGTACATTTGTGTAGAGAGATCATTGAATGCAGAGCAGAGGGGGTATATTACAATAATGAAACACAAGCATAGACTACCGATTCAGATATCCAGAGCAACAACATTTCCCTGGCCCAGCTTCTCCTAGGCAATTCAGCGTACCTCGTCCATCACGGTACTAGCCACCGAACGCTGAGAGAACCAAACCCGCAGCCATCTACTTAACATAAGGTGGCAACTCTCCCCCCTGGATGCAATCTGTCTGCGACGATCTCGGCAAGACGGTAACCAGGTGCTTCGAACGCAGCTTGAACTTCTGCCCCGCGACAACCCCCACCAGCTCCCAGTGCAATTTATGCACGTGGGAGATATTGTACGTCGCAAAGCTGGGACGGAGCTCACGGGCGCCCATGCGCAGATCCAGCATCTGGCCTAGATTAACGACCGCAGCAGGCCCACCGGTCGGTTTCGCTGTCGGGGTGAGGGTGGTCGAGACCTCGGAGTCCTGACCGCGTCGAGCGAGATCGCCGGATCCGACGAGGATGGCTTTGCTCCCGGAACTGGAAATCGTGCGGTCCTCGGCCTGGACGGTGGTTTTCTCGGTGATGTGCAAGCTGAAGGACTTGATGGTGATCTGCTGCGGGACGTCGTACAGCGCCTCGCTGGTCAGGAGGTGCAGCGGGTCGAACAGGACAGTCACCGGGATCTGGGTCGGGTTGTCGAGCTGCAGGACATGCGGCAGCAGAACGGTCACATTGAAGGCCAGTCTCGGCACCTTGGACGGGCGGAACAGCTGCCTGGTTTTCTGGCCGAGGCTGGTTTCCTCAACGCCGGGCGTCAGCCGGTACGCGGTGATGCTGGTCTGCTGGGTATACGGGCCCATGCGGAAATCTGCGACGGGCGGGCCCGGGGTGCGGTTGTGCAGATGGAATGGCGCCGTTGCGGTGTAGGTCTCCGTCTTGGTGCGGCCCTTGTGCTGGTGCGAGAGGATGAGCTCGGCCTGGATGTAGTACTCGATGAAGGCGACGACCTTTTCGCCTTTGAGGAGGAAGTCCAGGTAGTAGAAGTCGAATGTGCCCGGGGGCGGGAACGGAGCGCCGTCTGCGCCTCCGGGCGCGGCGTACTCTCTTCGCTGGTGGGAATCTCGGACGTCGTTGACGACAGACGGGATGGTCAGGGCAAAGGGCCAGGACAGTCCATCGCTGCCCCGGGGGATATGCAGGGGTGCGTTGGCCAGCGGGACCTGGTATTCGACGGGGGCGCTGAGGGTATTGAACGAGGCTCGATAGCGTCTTTCTGCCTCCACCCCGCGTTTGATGGTGATTTTGCTCTTGGTTCGGCCGTGAAGCGTCACGACCATTCTTGCTTCTGGGGCGACGGTCGGCGTGGTGCGGTAGACGCGGCCGACGATTCTGTCGCCAGGGGCGAAGCTTCGCCCGGGTACATGCTCGAGTTGAATGCCGAGGGCGGCGCTGGACTTGGCTGGTGTTTCAGGCATGATTTCTGGTTGAAGAATGTGGGACAATGATCTGGGATGTTGTTGCTTTATATTTGTATCCGTGTTAGCACAGCCACGCTTTGTTTGACAGTCTATAGACGCCAACCGTTCAACAGGCGCTAAAATGGGGCCGAAATACTGCATGACATCAGCTTGTGAAGCTAAAGATTTACTGACATTGATGTAATAAAAATAGTTTGCTCATTCACTGTACAGTAATTGGGAACTGTCCAATATTTCCAGTGGCTGTCCCGGGGGCATACCCCCTAGCAATAAAGGCTGAGATTCACCATTAATCCAGCCTGGAGCTCATATGGAGACTCTTCCAGGCACAGTTGCTGCTATCTCTGTAAATAGGCATTTTAGTTCGCTTGCTGATAATGTAATTGAAAGACTGCCTACAAGCTGCCCTTTGGTGCTGATATATATTTTTACCCCGGGAGCGCTTAACAATCCCCAGTATCACTCCAGGTCAATTTAAGCTGAGCCCTAATAGATCTACACCAAACAAAGCACTCCATGATATGAAATCACTCTTAAGAGAAGACATTCACAGTCTGATACCAGAACTACATCTCCAACAACCAAGCAAACTCCCACTCATCACACTCCGATCCTATTCCATCCCCATCATTCCTCTCAAATACTAATATCCCATTCAGCAGGGTGATACTTGACCGTCTGAGTATACCGCGACTCCGTCTCGGTCGGATCCGCCGGATCAAAGTCAAACTCAAACGAATCATTGCTTCCCCGACCCGATATGGTAACCCGGATAGGCACCTGCGGCACCACATCCACCGTGCCCTGGTCGTACTTGCCCAGGAATATATACCCGTCATGCTTCATAAAGTTCACGCAGATCTCGGTGCCATCGAAGCGGTTGTCAATCCGGAAGCCACGCCGGGGTGCCTCGGAGTCATCTACGGGATTCGCGGCCGTTGATTCCCTGTCGCAGTCTAGGATCCAGCGCTGGCCGTAGTCGAGGTCGATGTCGCCTATGACGCCACGGATTAGGGTTTGAAGGGGAGAGAGAGTTCAGGAAGCTTGAATCAGACCTTTGTTGACCTCGGTGCCATCCGGCTTGATTTGGTTGGCGTCGAGTTTGTAGTACCATTCGACGGTATTCTCCGTTTTGACGTCTGGCCAGGGCAAGCGGGTCAGCGGCAGCTAGTGAAGAGGAAGAGAAAGGAAGAAGAGGATCAGATACCCACCCTGGTTCAGA